TCCCCCAAGTTGCACAATGAAGCACTTTCCCACAGATGAGCACAATTGGCTTCCTCCTCCAAAGTAATCAGTGCCCTGCTGCTCCTCACACAGAACATTACAGCCCTCCTTATCAAACAATTTCCGTGATATTCAGCTGCTTGTCTGCTGACCTCAGGTTAAACTTGTATGTTGGTTTCCTGCGTGTTATAACAATAGTCATTTTTATCTGGTGTGTGATCTGATATGATGAAACCTGCTTAACTACATTGCTTGCTACTTTTTAAACTCAGCACCTAATCTTAGACCACTAAAAATATGCAGTATACATACAGATATATACCCCCCCACACACACAACTCACAGACACACCAAAGAGGTCATTGCTCTGCTTGCACTATGTACACTTACCTGTAACTTGGGACAGCTGTGACACAGCGCAGCAATACAAGCAGCATGAGGAGAAGCACAGGCACCCTCAGGTGATACATAGTGTAGTGTGATTACCTGGACCAACACAGTAGACAGAGCAAAGTGTGATTTATTGTTAAGGAGGGCTAAGGCTGTGAATGCATTTGTTGTAATTAACCTGACCAAAAGACAGCAACACAGAAACATACCAATTTATGTAGGCTAGATTTTCAGTACATAATGTCAGAATGAAACAAATACAACCAAGCATAAAATACTGTAGTTAAAAAGAAGTGACCAGATTAGAGAGAGTTTGCTTTCTAAAAAAATATTTTGAATTTAAAGGGTCATCATTATGAGAAATAAAAATCTGATTTAAAACTGTGCTCAGTGATTCGGTAACAATAATCTACCAGCACCTACCAAGCATTAACAAGTCTAATATTTTTTGTTCCTGTTGGGTAGCTTAAGAGAGACAAATAAGGTTGCAAGTTGCAACTAAAAAATATTTTCAATATAGATAATTTTATAATTATTTTCTTAATTAATCAATTAATATTTTCTATACAATGTCAGAAAATGTAAATAAAATTTAAATAAAGATAAGAGAAAAAAAAAGAAGCCAAAGTGACATCTTCAAAATGCTTGCCTAACCAAAACACAAACATATTCAATTCATCAATAGTAATAGAAAAATAGTAAATCCTCACAACTGAGAAGCTGGAAACAGAGAATATTTGGCATGTGAAAAATGACATAGATGATTAATTGATCAAAATAGTAGATTGACTGCGTCGCTCTAGAGATACATTTCACCCACTCCATTTGACACAATTTATACAGTATATAGATATAGTCGGATGCTTTATTACATTCCCAAATTTCTTCAACATCATTTTATGCAACAAGACATATTTGGTGTCTTTGCCAACCCTTTGGATCTTGAATCTGAAACATACAATACATCTGTTCTTGTGAACAAGACAAAATGTGAGTATTGAAGATTCAAAAGGAAATTGGAAAGAGGTAAAGATTTAGCAAGATATTCTTTTAAACCTACAAGGACACTATTGTTATACAAACTACAAACATTTCCTGTAGCACCCCAGACTAACTAAGCCCTTAAAAGAGACAGAGTACTTACTTTCTGTTGTGTTAGCTCGTTGCCAGCAGATCCCAGTCTGTCACTGGAGCAGTCCAGGGTTTGTCAGACTGTCACACAAACCGACGGCAACAGTTATAGGCTCATCGCGCAAACCACTTGTGACATCAGCTCTCTCCAAATATAGTCTTGCATTTTCATTTACACAGAATGGGGATGACGGGGGTGGGAGGGTGGGGAGGGGTGAATGGATGGGTTGGGGTCCAAGAGGGTCTCATATATATCATACGCTCACTCAGCTGTACCTTAATGTACATTCTGAAAACTGTGCACGCGCAGAAAAATTTAATTTTCACAGTACACACACACAAATAAATGCACACACATCTTTGCACGTCACCACCTCAGCATCACCTTCGTCATCATTGTCATCAGCGTCCGTGACGGGGCTGACCCGCCAAAAACCCACACCAGGGAGTGGAACCCTGTCAAAGTGGAAAGCTGTCTTCCTATTTACCTTGAGACACGGAATGAAGTTTTAGGTCACCAAACTCTGGCCCTGCTGCCTCCCTGTGAGCTTCATTGACAATGAATAATACATGTGACGATGAATTATCATTAATAATGGATGGTGTCTCATTATTTTGATGGGACACGTCACAAGCAAGAAAGTACTAATTAATGAAGTGATGGTAAAACATGAGTAACACTTTACAAGCACGTGACCTGAGACTCTGACTAGTTTAAGAGTGGGTTAGCACTCATTTTTCTCTCTGCAATAGTTTCCTGTAAACTTTAAAGATGCTATAATCAATATTTTTATATTAACAATGGATCAAATGACGAAGTGTAATGTGAAAGGTGTTGCTCGTAATGACAAACCAACAAAGAATTATCACCCAAAGCTGCAGTTTCCCTCAGCTCTTAAGGGCGTTTGAGGGTCTTTCTGCAAATTTTACTGTTTTGGTTCACTCTCACAGCCCTCATCGTTGTTTTAGGCCACAGCAAGCAACAGTTTTCAGTGAAAAAGCTATAACAAATGTCCAGCATAAGATTAGCAACTATCTGGTGAACTTTGTGGAGCATTTGGCAGCAAGACCCAGGTTTTTCTCTCAATATTTACTGCTTATCAGAGCTAAAAGGAAAGATTATATTTGACTTACAATTGTCGCCAGAAACTCAAGCATTTAGCAGTTAGCGGTTATCAGAGCTAAAAGTGAATATTGGCTTACAATCTTCCGGTGTGCTGGATGTTTAAATAGGCAAGTGTTTGCTCCCAAGTTCTCTATATCAACTTAAAAGGTGATGCCAGTGTTTGTGTTCAAAGCTTGTGGAAGCTTCACATGCCCACTTATATATAACTGCTAAAAAAAAAGAAAGGAAAGAAACACAAATGCAGAAATTTCTCATATGAAATAACCAAGTGTGTTCTCATTTTAGAACAAACTGGACCCCTCTGCTGAGAAAATTGGTTTATGCTTTACATGGCCTTTAGTGCTCACATTGTGGTACATATTTAGCTTTCAGAATCTTCTGCTGCACAGGATCCGATGTGTTTTCAGGTGAAACAGAGCTTTGTTTGGATTCAAATGAAATGTGTACTTGAGACACACTGTAGGAGCAGTGATAGCCACTGTGGCTTAAAGAGAGGCGTAATTATCGGAGAATGCAAGAAAAGAACACATACAGTTTAAAATGGTTACTATGACCATGTTTGTTTGTGTCCATAGAGATCATCCCACAGTCTCAGTGGGAAAATGCCACCACAGGCTTCAGGCTGCTGGTAAGTGCTGGTGGTTTTCACCGCAGCTTTGAGCTAACACAGAGATATAGTGCAATCCTAATGGACATGTAACACCCCCAAACCCACCAAGGTCCAACAAACACCTTCTTGTGTTTTTCCTGTAAGCTTCCCAACAAAACTTGAAGGAACTGCAGACAAAGAAAGAGTGACAGGATGTTTTTCAGATTTCTCTACTTTTATGTGGATTTTATAGTTTGCATGTACAGTATAGGCTATTTATGGAGTCAACATTATGATGCTCCAGCCATTCCCTAACACTCCTATTTGTTATTTCCAAGCTGATTTCTGCAGATGAAAACATATAAACAGTTAAATTATTTCAAGGTGATAGTAATAGACTAGTAGTGGACTAAAAACAATTGATTCCTTTGGCTATGTACAACAGATTAAAAAAAAATTATAATTATATCCAGTTTCACTGGCAAACTCTTTAATTTCTCTTTAATATATAATTAACTTATTAAATATCTAAGTACTCTAGTGGGTATGAGGGAGGTGTTTAGAAAGGTTAATATGCACAATACTGAAAGAAAGGACAGCGTGGAAGGAAAGACAGAGGAAAGAAAAAGGAGAGTGAGGGAGAGAAAAAGAAAGAAGAAAGTGGGTGGTGTGTGTAGGATTTTAAGTCTATTTTTATAAACTATTGTCTGGGGACGCATGTCTCCTGAATGCTTGTGCTGTCTTGTCCCTTAGACTACTTTGGTAAATGTGAGGGGCCAGATGTTCAACGGTAGCAACACAATTTCACTGCCCACGTCACAGAAACAAAGCCACTGATACCACAGCTAACCCTCAGTTTACAGAAAGCTGTGTGAACCTTCACAATCTTTAAGGTATCTGGAATTCTTCTTATTCCGTACTTACACTTCAAAGGTGCTACTCCATATAGAAACTTTGTTTCCATTTTCACATTCAGTGCAGAGATTTGGGCTTGACAGCTCCAGCACACAAGCTTAATAACGCTTTATTAGTATTCCTCTGTCAGTGTACATAAGAGGAAATAATAGTCGCTGGGGAATGATTAGTAGATAAGTAGCTAGTGCCAAAAGTAATGGTGTTTATTGTTAACTGGGGCTGTGTCCAGTATTGCACAATGTGCTACTTAAATGAGAGATACTCAGGTGCAATACAGTGGTGGAAGAAGTACTCGGATTTTTTACATAAGTAAAAATAGTATTGCTTAGCATAAAATGGAAATACACAAGTAAAGTACAACTACCTCAAAATTGTACTTAAGTACAGTACTTGAGTAAATGCACTTAGTTACATCCACACGCATGTAACCAGTGTGTATGGTCTCCTTCTAGCCCACGATGCATCAATAGTCATGAATAAACAGTTGACGTCACTAACACCTACCTGTACAGGGAAAACAAATGGCATTTGTTTGTTGATTAATTGCAAGGAAATGAAGGACTCCTTGATCAGTAATGATGGTGTTGTTTTTCTGTCTGACAAATAATGCTCAAATATGCAGTTGTTCTTTCAGCCTAGTTATATCACTGAAATCTCTTCTACATGTAAGTTTAACACTAGGCAGCTCATACATGCAATCAGGCCTCTGGTGAGTTTCCCATTCATGAAGCAATACTTGTTGCTTCATAGCTTGTTGAACCGTAGTATTGTAATTCCAGTAGTGTCAGTGTACACAACAGTAGTAATTTAAAAAAAAAAAATCATTCATCCAGACGGAAAGCAGAGATCTTCAATTTTGTTCAGTTTTACTGCTCTCTGCAACTAATGCAAGACATGAGATGTGCATGCGTCCACACAAACATATCTAACTTTTACTCAAATTTAAAGCTGCTATTATCAATATTTTAGTAGTATTTTGTAGTATTAATAGATTTTAAAAAGCATGTAATGTGATAGATGTTGCTTGTAGTGACAAACCCACAGAGAATTATCACCTGACTGCAGTTCTTTTCAGCTGTATAGCATCGTTTAACTGTTTTGGTTGACTCTGACAGCTCCCATCAGCGTAATTGCCATACAGAGCAGACAGGTGTTCTAATAATAGCAGACAGACAGTTAGCGACTAGCTGGTGAACATAATGGAGGATTTAGCAGCTAAAGAACCAGATCATTTCCATATATTTTGGGAGCAAACCAAAGCTTAAAGGAGAGTGAATATTGGGCTTATCTTCCGGTGTGCTGGATATTTAAATAGGCAAGTGTTTGTTACCAAGTTTCTATATAAACTTAAAAGGTGATGCCAGTATTTGTGTTTAAAACTTGTGGAAACTTTACATGCCCACTATGAATAAGTGCTAAAAAGGAAAGGATAAAAAAAACCTTCAAATGCAACACCATTGAACTGCTCAAGGTGCAAATAAGCCTATGATAAGCACAAGATGAGTCAGTATTGTATTTACAGCTTGTTGTGCTGACCCCAAGGGGCCAAAAAAATCAATTTCCTTCAGGTTTAATTAACAATTACATACATTTGAAAACTGTATTCTCAATTTGCCATTTTAGCACATAATTAGCCACTTGTGAGGATGGAACCGAACAGGAACATCATTTTTACATAACTTGTGTCTACAGCGTGAAATTGTGTAACAATGGTTCCATGTATGTTTGAGACTGTACATAGATCCATCCATCCATCCATCCATCCATCCATCGTCAACCGCTTATCCTGCGTACAGGGTCGCACGTGTACATAGATCAGATCTGCAAAATGTAACGTGACAGTTATATAACACATTCTATGATTCATTTATTGACATAAAAAGAAAAACATTTATGTTGACCAAGACGTTTAAGCTATAATGTTTTTTAGGCTGGGCCTTGCAAGGCTACTGTGTAATCATGTTGTCACTCTGCACATCAGTGCTTTTTCAAGTTTCATCGAATGCTTCTACAGCTGTGAAAATGAGACCACTGGAAGCCCTTTTCTTCTTCAGGACTGAGTGTAATATAACAGCTATTTCCTGTAACAAAATGGTGGAAAATACTGTTATGATAGAGCATGCTATAGCCCAGATGAAAAAGCAATCCCTCCTGACATTCCAAGTAAATGTGACTTTTGGTCAAACTCAGTAAAATTTCTACAATGGTCCCGCTTGGCCTTGTTTGACTGTGTTTTAGATAACACATTGGTGAGCACTTTAGTTTTGTGGTCCATTAGTTTCTCTGCTCTGTGTTGTTTCTTTCGCTAACTCATTCTTGTCATCCGCGTGATGGATCAACATTTCTTTTTCCACCTGTGCACTTGTCTCTTTGCAAAACTCATCTTTTCCCTCTTTTACTTCCTCCTCTGACTGCAGCAAGTTCGTCTCTATCTTTGCTTCCTCTCTTGGAAGAGGACTAAACTCAACAGTGGTCTCTGTCACGGATCTGAGCTGTTGCCTCTCCTGGGTGTTCTCCAGCTGTGTTGTGATCCTTCCACAAACTTTGGGAGCATGAGACAGTTTGGGAGTTTTAGGAACGTTAGGCTCCTCACTGGGACTTGATGTGGATTGAAGTTCAATTTCCTTTGAAGCTTTTGTATGCTGCATCTCTGTTTCTCGTTCCGGTTTACGAAACTGTCGTCTAAGGAGGATGATGACAGCAATGATGAAGAAATATGAGGAACCACTGAGACAAGTGATTAGACCCAGGAAGATGACCCTGGAAATAGAGAGAAAATGTTGGAGACTGCAATAAAGAACATCTTTATTGCTATGTTGTTTAAAAGGTGGAGAATAAAATAATTACATGTAATAAAAAGTCAGCTATATGTAGTTGTACCACTCAACACTTAAGCAAATTCATATTAGCAGTCACATTCTGTTTTCACATTTGTAGTCCATAGCATACCTGTACATAGCAGAGTCATAAATTCGACATGCCCCCCTGCCCCCACACATCTTGACTGACCACTTGAGGCAAGTTGAATCAATCAGGGCTCCGAAATACACAGGTGCAGGAATTCCACCTACAGTCAAAGTATCACACAAATATATACTGCTAGAACATTGCAATGGAGAGAAATATTGTGTCATATATCTCATGTTGTCTTATTTTGACTCCCACATACCAAACTAATACAAATATTTGCACTTAAACTGGACTAAAAATTTGATATTTTTACCAGAGGAGGGAGCTTTAGTTGTGGGACCTATGGGAAACTGCACTAACATTAAAAAGCAAAACAATTCCAAATCAAAAAGTTTACACTTCACATTCAACTAAAAGAAATGAAGCTTACCAAGAGTCCTAGTTAACATGGTCTGGATACCCAGCGCAAGGGATTTGAGCTCTGGTGAGATGCATCTGTAATTACAAAACAATAGAATCAGAAAGAGCTTTATTGCCAAATAGTATTTTACACGTACGAGGAATTTGTTTTGGTGATAAGGTGCTACACATAGACAAACATACAGCTGACATAAATAAATGTAGAAATATATAAATATGGAATAAACAAATGCAAGTTATATAAGAGAAAAATAATACTACTAATACTACTAATAGCAACAGAAGAGGATGTTGTGTACATATATATTTTTGAGAAAATATTAAAAAATATATAAAAATATAAAAATACTAAGTCACTTATATATAGTTTTGTAAAAATTTGCTGCACCAATCAGTTTCTTTGAAGGAATATCTTTACATTTTGGGCTATAAGATTTTTTACTTTGTTGCTGAGAGTTAAGATTGATATCTCTTGTGTCTGTACGCTTAATATGAAGCTTAGCACAAAGGTCAAAAAGAGGGTGAAACAGCTAACCTGGCTCTGTCCAAAGATAACAACATTCACCTATCAACACCTTTAAAGTTCACTACTTAACATATTATATCTTTGACCCCTCGTCTAACATGTACAATATAATGTATATAACATGTTATTTTGTGAACATTAGATGTACTGGTAGATATTATTACCTTTTCCCGAGTCCTTGTAGCGTCATATTTACCATACAGACATTAAAGAGGTCATATTATGCTTTCCCTCTCCTTTAATGAGTTATATATCTTTTTTTATGCATGCTCTAGGTTTGCAAAGTGAATCAAACCCCAAAAAGTCCACCCCAAAGGGAGTTCCCATCTCCCACAGAAAACAATGCTCTGAACTGCCTGAAAACAGCTCGTTTGTATTGTAGTCCAACCTTTTCTTCCGCTTTCTTGTGATGTCACAAGAAAACACGCTTCATAATGCTCACCTAGTGGCTAGTCACACACATCCTCAAAAACACCAGTGAAAAAAAAACTGAGCTGCAGCACACAGTGACAAGACGTCCACCTGCTGCCTCTCCTCTCCCTTCCAAACATTAACTACCTTCCAGGCAGTCAATAGACATAAAGTTGTTACTGTGATATAGAGATAGAGCTCAGTTAAAACTTTGTGGAAGGAAGACACATTTGTTACAAATGATTAACTCTGAAACTCTTGCTCCAGTCTATGTTGCTAAGCTGGTCGGCAACATGTACCGGCTTCTCAGGACAGTTGGTCCTTGAGTTGAGTGCAGTTGGTTAACCGCACTCAATGGATGATGTTTGTGTTGTCCCTCACGACTCACTTAGGCTCACATCTTAAGAATGAGATACAGTAACACTAATATTCCCAGTTATTATTTCCTTCTTGCCAGGATCCACAAACCGTATGATGACCATGTAGCCAGGTGTGGCTCCCAGAGAGTTGATAAAGGAGCTAAGAACAGACACAGCCATGTAGGAGGTGAAACTGCGGCTGCAGTCCTTAGCATGAGGACACTGGCCCAACCTTACTGACGTACTGCTGCCTGCTGGGTAGGAAGCAGACACACAGCTGCAGTTGTGAAAGACCTGGTAGAGAGAGAGAAGACTTACTGGAAATGAAGAGAAGCACAACCCAATTATAAATTGGAAAACAAGCCTCTACTTAGAGTCAGTCAATTCACTATGAATAAATTATTTTCCCACTGTGATTTCTTGACAGTAAAATAGCAGATTAATGATTTTGGATAAATGGTTTGCAGAAACAAATGGGAAAGAGTTAAGGAAAGTACAATGAACTTCATTCACTGAATGAAGACTGTCAGATGCAGCTGAAAGCTCCAAAGGCTAATAAGTGAACCTTCGTGCTCAGATGATTTGGTAACATACAATGTAGTGATCATAAAGGCGTTGCAAGAAATTTTACAAATGTTAATAAAATTGTAAATACATTAAGTAACAAATGTGATGACGTACACCATTCTGATATGTGGGACCTTAAAACTAATGAAATATTGACTAATTCAGGTAAACTGAAAGGACTTGAGATATGAGATATTGTTAGTAACTCCAAAGAAAAGAACATGAGTATTTGCTTGGACTTGAGAGTGTAGAGAACAGGGAAGGAAAGTGATTCATATTCTGGTTTATCAAAACACATTCTCTTTCTTTGGAATGCAGCCGCATGGTACCGTTAATAAAAATGTCTAGTCAGTTTATGGTGAAGCTGCTCAAATGCTTTCAATGGTGATAATTTGGACAACAGTGGCAGACACTGTTGATTTGTGAGTAGTCAAGCAACCATGTACTCATTATAGACCTGAATATCATCCTTTAACTGGCTATTAAGCTGCTTTACAATAAACACTGTATTCACGAATGCAGCCCTACTGTGTTCTTGCCGTATCCACTGGAGCTGAGGCAGCCAGCCATACATGGAGAGATGTAGGTGATGCCGCTGTCTGAACACACAGGGTCCCACTCCTCTGCTGAGCAGGAGCAGTCTCTGTTACACTCTGAGAAGAGCATATCTCTGTTGGATGACACAGTCTGCGTCCTGCAGGGCAAAGAGGGTTTATATTTTATATTAGATGCAGGTTGTGTATTTTGAGGCTATAATAAGAGTTCCTATGGTACATTATATTAGTTTGTTAAATCTGCGGTCATCTTCATAAACCTTTCATGTCTCTGTTATGTTTAGCCAAGGGCAGAAAGGAAATCAAGGGATTTGGACCCAAAAGCAGAACACCAGGCAGAGCAGGGTCAGATTATGGTGTAAAAAGATGAACATATGTATGGTTGGTGGAGGCAGGCAAGGCTCAGAAAACAGGTGAGCAGCCCAACACAAAAGGCAAACAAATCCAATCAAGGAGGCAGGCAAAAATCTAAATTCAAAATAAACAGAAGTCATGAAGAAAACCCAACACACAGAGAAACAATGGAGAAATGCAAGGCAAGGACACTTGACAAGAGGACAAAGACAAAAAGACCAGAGGCCTGTACTACGAAGCAGGATTTGAGCTTAGTTAGGTTACTTCAGGTTTAACCTTGGGTTATTTTTATGCTGTGGGTGATGAGGGAGAGGCTTTTGTTTAGCTGTATCATCCTACAGAGACTTATTGCAGCACAAAAGCTGTGTACTTGTTGTACTTATAAAGATATGACTTTAAGCCTACTCACCAATTTGAAATGTGTTTTATATTTTTTATTTGCTGAATGAGAGGCTGAATGTTATTCATATCGTTTGGTTGGTCTTTTCAAATTAAGTTTAATATGAATTTGTTTATTATAACTTTAGGTTGCATTTGTTTCTTTAGCTATAGAGACTGGTCATGTTTCGCCCCACCTTTTGCTTTTTGGGCACAAGTAATGTAGGTGAGTTTTCAGTAAATGTTGAGATTTAGCCTTTCAAACAGAATACTTTTATGACATGAATGGAATGACATGAATTTTTCATTTTGTTGCTTAGAACAATTTTAATTTAGAACAATGTTTGGAACATTTTTGAGTGTGGTAAATTAATGAATCAGATTTGAAGAAGTGATTTGAAAGTGAACTGAACGACCGCTTTTAGCTAAGCTGCAAGAATAAGGCTGAAATTTCATACACGCCATAAGAACACATCAAAGCATCATATTGATGTTATATGACTGTTTCTTTAGGCAATCGTGTTAATGTTAACGAGCTCATGGCTGGATTGGGAGACCCAAGGCTGACTTCCCGAGTTGATAACCAGCTTTGTTTCAACTCTTATCCTGATTGCGTTGTTTGGGTTAGTAAAACCAGATAATGAAAAGATATCCTGGGTATGCAGAACTTGGTTCGTTGTACAAGCCCCAGGTCAGCACACAGAGAGGGGTGGAATAATAACACACAAGTGGCACTCATTAGGGCAGGGCAGACAGTCATACAGGCGGGAAAACACACAAAGACAGTAAGCAAAGTTACACAAGACACAGGAAGGATCCTTTCAAAATAAAAGCGAAATAACAAATCCCTAGACCATGACAGTCTCAGCACTGACCCGTTGTATGAGACGGTGAGCCCAGCAACGGGAATGTTATCACACTTTGTGCCAAACTGCAGCAGCAGAAGGAGGTATGCCATGAAGGATGTGGCAAAGGAGAGCTGAGCTCCTGATACCAAACTCAGTTTATACCGCTTCATGAGGAGCCCTCCCAGGAAGATCCCAACTGCCACTGCTGGCAGGTTCAACACACCTACAAGAAAAACATGAGGGGGTATGGACGCTGGGAGGTTCGTAGAATGTCTTCATAAGATATCTTGTTCTCTCTTAATCTTGAGCTTTGAGCAGAAGTGCTGGAGAATTGTACCATGAATCACCAGGCACTGCCAAACTTTGATCTTTTGAACTTTACGGGAATAGTACTGCTTAATCATAATCATTCAGACCCTGATAATTCTTACTCAATCTGTGCACATTTCTTTATCTATTTTAAGATAAATCAAACATTTAGCCTTGAGTGAATTAATGAGTTTTGGCTCCAAGCGAGAGGCATTCGTATGATCGTATGATCTACTATACATATAACCAGAAGTATTCCTGGAAATCATTGTGATATCATACTGTTTTAGGGTTCCCAAGCTGCAGTTTGAATCAATTGTCAGACTGTATTTCTCTCATGAATGTTCTTAAAGGGGGAAATTTGTTAGCAAGCCAACTTTGGGACTTTAATGATGGAACATGGCCAAGGGCCGGATTGTGCAGTTTGGAGCAAAGGAGAAATCTCTTGGGGTTTCTTCCTTTGTCTCTCTGTCCTTACTGGTGTATTGTTCTTTTTTTGTCAACTACAGCTATGCCTTCATTGAGTTATAGCTCTACCATTAGTTATCTGAGTATAATTCTATCTTGAAGTATATCATAAAGTGAGGTAATGTAACTTTTGCCACAAAAAAGAACACATTTTTTCCTGGCTCAAAATGGAGGTAGCACAATCCTGATTAAGTGCACACGTTACAAGCAGCATATTATATAGTTCTAATAATTATATGATTGAAGAAAATTATTATTTTCACATAAAGGCATATTTTATTTAGAAAAAGGGTGCCCTTTATTAAATATAATAAAAGCTAATGTGTTAATTTAAACAGTTAACAAACAGCAAGATGTCAAATCAAATAAAACACCAGCTCTTGTTTTCATTTATAGTTCAGGTTCCCCTTGCACTGTAGCTGATTCCTGGAAAATTAAATGTTCATCTGCATTATCCTGTAGTGTCCCAGTAATATTTGTTCTTAGGGAACATTTTTGACATTTCTGTTTGTATCTCGGAGCTCTTTAAGCCAGTGTGTTCAAAATGTGATGCAGACTAGTTATATGTTTCTGCTATTAGGAAAAAATGCATGAATTAGTCTAAAACACAAGGAGTAAAATGTTACAATTCACTCCATAGTCTGGGTTAATTATAACATGCCCTGGGTTGTGATGCAACATATGAATATACTGTCAATCAGGCTAGAGTTACTCGTATCCACTGCACTGTGTAAAGTTAACCAGTGCCTTTGAACAAGCTTATTAGCAGTCGACTGTAAATTTTTTCCCTCAAGGACATTTTGTTTTAAGCAAGTTGTTCGCTAGCCAACATTAGTATCCTGGTTAAAATCACAGTTATCATGAATTAGAGATGCACCTAACCAAGATAGCCACCGTCTCATCCAAAGATGGTCACGGTGATATTACACTATATTTAACACTTTATTTTAAACATCAGCCAGCAGTGAAAAGCAGTTCCGTATATATATTATATTATTTTTGCTGTGTGGTGAAGACATTACTGGCAGAAACATTGCCACGCGGGGGTGCTGCAGTCCAGCCAAACAGATGGCTCTTTCCTTCCTCTCTGGAAGTTTTGGCAGCGTCTTTAAAACTAAAGGACTCTTGCTCAAATTAGTACTGCTGCTTTAGCCTAACTTGGTCTGTATGACCAGTAGCTTATGGTGGCTAATGTTAGCTGACTTAAGATAGATATTGCTGTGTACTGAGTCAGTTTGGTGACCTTATGACTTCTCTACTTTTGCTTCTGTTACACTACATTTTACCATTTACCATGATCCCAGAAATTTCACTTTTACTGTTATTCAGACATAACCTCGCTATGGGAAGAGGAGGATTTCTACATAGCAACAATATTAATGCATTTTTTTTTACCTATGAGGAAGTTGGCCCTAGATGCAGACTGTCCAAACTGCTGCTCCATGTATTTGGCTTTGAAGGTAAACAGGCCAATGAAAGAGTTGAATTTCAGGATGCTCCCACAAAGGAGCAGGAAGTAAGCAGGAGTTCCTAACAGGCGCTTCAATGAGGGAAGAAACCCTGTGGAAGGACATCCAGACAAAATACAAGTAATGATGCATAAATTTGCACACACACACACACACACTCACACGCAGCATAATTTAGTAAAATACTAAATCTGTATTAAATATGTACATTTGAAGTGTTGCAGTGTTCTGTTTTGGGAAGAAGAATATGGTTGTCTCAACCTTTAGCGATCTCAGTCAACTTGAGGTTGTGATTGGTGTTGAGGGTATCCTCTGTTTTATCAAGGATCTCAGGGGTGGGAGTTGGCTTGCCCTCATCTCCCTCCTGCTTTGGCAGCGAGCGGGGCAGGAACCAGAAGGGAATGCTGGAGATGAGCAGGAAGGCGGAGGACACCAGGAAGCCCATCCACCAGGCGCCCACCCAGCGGGCATCTTTAGGAGTGATGGTCACACTTTCTGTATGACAGAAAAGTTTTGAGTGGGTGCAGTTTCAATCTGCAGATTTCAGTCTGTCAGTTCCTTTGTGTGAAGTGACCATATTGGAAAAAACAGGGTAATTGCATCCCAATTATCAGTGATGGAACACTCAACTCTCTAGTAGCGACACTGCACACTTTAGGTGGACTGATTGAGTTTGTTTAACAAATAAATGATTGATTTTACCTTATCTATATGCAAGAGTTGAGACAATTCCTCACAGAGACACTCAGAAAAGTCTTCTGTTGTTAACCAGTTGTGACAGGTGTGCAGCCTATTTTTAGGGTAGAGTGTCAGACCTTTGCACCAATTGGCAGGTAGCTGAACCAAAATTAGTCTGAACTAATGCTCCAGCAAGAGTCACCATGTCTCTTCTGTCAAAACATGACATTCTAGCCAAAAAGCCTTCTTTGGTTTAACTCTATCAGCCTGTCAACACAGGATGAGTTATTTTTTTCATGCCAGATTTTCAACAACTCTCTAGTGGGTAAAACAATAACTTGAGTGGCTCCAGCCTTCGCCATCTTGGCAGTGCCTAAGTCGCTTAACTCCTGGTTAATCCAAAAATGGGCAAAAGTGGAGCTTCAGTGGGCCCGAATGAAGCTTGATTGCTGCAGCTAGCCACCTGTGACAGCGCCCATCTGTCACTCAAGGCGGCCATGCCCTTAATTATGCATAACTTTAAGGCTTAGTATAATTTAAACAGTTGAGTAATGTAAAAATTCACATTAAAAAGAACCACATTTATTTCTGTCTGAAATGGTTGGCTGAAAAGAGAAGGCTTCTATCTGCAATCTCACACACTAGACAACACGCTAATTTCCTGCACTATAACTTCTTGGATTAATGTACTTCTTTTAGCCCAAACCTAATAAAAAAAAAATGAGGACTGAAATGAGGACTATGACTGCAGAATTTATCAGTTGTAACAAGCTAAATGATTAAGCCAATGTAAGCTTTTAGAATGAAGACTATAATACATCCTTCTTGCAAAACAAATGTATTATACTTACCCATATCAACATAACCAATATCGACATATAGTTTGGCACAATAGGAGCCTAAGAGGAAACCAAACATGGGCCCCAGGAGAGTAATGGTCTGGAGACAAGCTGCAAATCCCAAATTAATAAAAAGATTAACATTTTTCATGAGGTACTTGGGAAGAGATGGGTTTCAAAATTCCACTAGAAACCCAAAATGAGCAATCACATCTTACCTATATAGAAAGGGGAGTTTTCTGCTTTAGCAAAGTCATCAATATAGGAGATGCCCAGAGGTGTTACCGGGGTTTCTCCAATCCCCCGCAGAGCATTCCCGAGGAACACATAGATCCACATGTTGGAACCAGACTCTCTCACACAGACTCCATAAAGACAGACACACACATAGGAATGCATGATATTGATTTTGTTACAAAGATTATTTTCATGGACACTGCTATATGCTTATGTTATCTCACTATGTATTTTTGTCGCACACATTTGCACACGGAGTTCAGACAGATTCTTATGATCATTTTGGATTTAAAAGGAGACTTTAGCGTATGTGTATAAAAGCTGAATTTTAAAATAACACGTCAAACTTTGTATGGAATCCCGTCCCATTCACATTATTGAGAAAGAGAAAATAAAGTCTACCTCAATTATGCTGACTACCTCAGACAAGATGCATGAATACAATGTCGTGTTCATTCAATTTCAATTTAATAGGATGTGGCTTTAAGCTTGCATACCACTGTATTGTATGTGACTTCCAAATTATGTTTCTTTCTAAATACAGCTCATCAGGATAGCTGACCAGGATCAGTACATTGCATTTTCTGCGTGTATGATACTTTTTTGTGAGAAGAAGAATTAATTATGGCTCAACAATAGAATGACTGATGTGATATTTCAACCGAAGCCCATCGCATGGAACTAGAACAGATTGGAACAAGAGCTGCTCCTCAAAACATTGAGGAATACATAAACAGATATGTGTTCAAGCTGAAGTCATTACTATAAATATTACAGATGTGTGCTTTCTCAGTGACGCTATAAGATCTGATGATCCCACATATTATTCTGTCTCTTTTCTCTTCCTTTTTCCGGCTTTCAGCTCTTGCTGGCTTGCAGTTCTATCTGCATTCAGACTGATCAATGGCGCTGTTGACGTGAGGTTGTGAAAACTGAGTCTCTTTTTAGTTCTGGTCACAGGGAAAGGGAAATTTGTTATTGACGTTTTTGACTTATCAGCCACCCAAGAGGTGTAGCTTCCAGCAGGGGAGGTGAGTGGTACTGAAGGTCAGACTGAGATTAGTGCATTCCAAGGATGGTTGAAAGACAGTGAGTTATTAAGGGTCATAACCAGGTTTCATGTTAATACACTTTGTATATGCTACTGTATGCTGCTCTTGTAATTTCTTGTTCACTGACCATAGCAAAAACATCTAATATAGTTTGTCCTAAATGCAGATTTTTGATTTCAACTCCTTAGGCAGAGGTTTGTTAACTGGCTGTTTTACCCACCCAACCAGTGTTGTTTTTTTGTTTAGTTTTAGGTTTGTAATTCTTGTGCTACTCGTCTTTGTAAGCTTCAAGACACAAGCATAGATATGTAACAAGACTAGGACTACACAGCCATGCTAGTGGCATTTCACTCAAAACAACAAATGTCAACCTTGTGGCACTATAGGGAAAGTCAGGGGAGGGCAGGATTCATTCTCTAGGCACCATCAATCTCTGTACAAAATGTCATGGCAATCTATCCAATTGTTTTTGAGATATTTCAGTCTACACCAAAGTGGTGGACCGACTGAGACAATGTTCCTTCACACCTAAAGGTACCTATATACTGATTGTTAGCTAAGGCTGCACAAGGTAACTTTGCACTAAAATTGTACAGAAAACCTTTAACTAATGTCTAGTTCTTGAATAAAATTTACTTTCTTGCTTATTGCAGATTTAGTTGAACATAAATCCAAATGACTTTTTGTCCTTTAAAGGCACCCATTTGATCCCAGCATTTAGCCCGCAGTCATACCTTTGTTGTCTTCCACAGAAGGCTGTAGCTGAATTTCAGGTACTTCTTCTGTTTTCAGAGGATCCACACAGGCAGCAATGTTCACACTGTCGTTCTGGAAAACCTGAATGACTGTGTCATACTTGTAGCTGTGAAAACCAGCAGTGTGACAATGACAAATTTAACAAGATTACTTGGAGATCTGTTTTCATCATTACGTTTTCTTTTTTTAGAATTGTCATTTCTAAAATACGTTTTTTGTTGTTGTTTACCGTCCCATGAAGAAATGTGTCAGGCCAGTGAGAAAGGCCCCTACAGCCATGATGAAACAGCCTGCAGCAATGATTCTGGGCCGGTGCAGCTTGGCCCCAAAATGACTGACCACAGCAAGAAACAACAAGTTGCCTACCTCCAAAAAAAAAGAAAACAAGAGAGCAGAAGAACAAATCAGCTACAGAGTCAGAATTTAGAAAGTAACCAGGAACAAAAGTAAGACCTGATCAGATGCACAAAAGATTAGTGTGAAATCAATAGATAGATGGTACCCATCTCAAAACTGCCATCTATGAGTCCAATGTGTGTGGTGGAAAGGTCAAAACGTCTCTCAATCTGAGTGATGGAGCTTTTCATGTAGGTTCCTGTCAGAGCCTTGGAGAAACAGGCAAAGGACTGCGCCACAATAAACAACTAGAAAACACAAAGGGAAATGTAAATCATTAAAACAGGCTAGCAACCCAGATGTTTTACAGCCAACGCTTTATTGTAATAAAAAGTTCTATCATTTTCTAATAAATGTCCTTCAAGTATATGCTATAACAGGAAATCAGTCATCTAAAATCTTTACACCTGGCCACTTGGGGCAGCAGAAACAACACAACAATGACATCCTTTTGCGGCAGTTGCTGCAGTTTCAGGTGATCATTCTCTGTAGGTTCATCACTAATAGCAACCCCTTTCTCAAATTCTTTTCACATTGTCATTTGATACATTATTAATAGTCATTATAAAATATACATTTTATCCACACGCACTTTGTATGCTGCTCATGTATGCTTTGAAATGGTTTCTGCCTCCTCCATTGCAGCCTCCACAGTCTTACGTTTTGCTCTGTGTGTGGGAACCCTGGAGTCTCTTTATTACTAGGTTAACTCCCATTGTGGATTACTGCAATTCCCCTGCATGTTTTGCTATGTACAGTATTACCTCTATCATGCATTATTGCTTTGATTTGCAGTTTAAATTTCATTGTACTGGCTTAAGTCTGATGGATATCGACAACTTTGGGCTCAAAATTCTCTTGTTCTTAATTAGAGCACATACAGCTGATGATGGCATACAGTGTAGTATGATTTAATGTACTTACTCGTCTGAATTGGAATGAGGGTTTGAAGAGTAACAGGCCAATATTTTTGAGATATTGTTTAACTCAAGAATGTGAAGCAGAAAACTGCACAGTGCCCAGATAAAGCTGCCTATACATTTTTGTATTTTTTATTTTATTGTCAAGCTATATTTGGTGATGATTTTGACCCAACATCTACAGACGGAGCTAAGGCCCATTAGGAAAATAAGTCTTGGATGAAACTGCTGTATAGATTAGTTTGGGGAGAAATGCTCCATTATCTTTGCACATGCTGATGTAGTGCTGCAATCAGGCGAGGCTGAGCTCAGGACAGAAATTGAAGTGTTTGACAAAAGTTGATGTGCTGATCTAGAGTAGGTTTTTGATTTTTGAACACAAGAAAAGATCTGCTCTTGGCTTGATTCTACCTACTTTGAGGGAAGGCATATCCCTAAAATGTGTTCAACTGACCAAAAACTAATCTAACATTTTAAGCTTTTAGCCATCCATCCATTATCTACATACTCTTGTCAAAGTTTGAACCCTTGTTGTCAGGGACCAGTGCTAACAACTGCACCACCGCACGACCTTTTAGGCATGTTTTTATCTACAGTCTACACTGAATGCATCAACAGAATGAACTTCAAGAAGGAAAAGAGAATTACAAGTAACCAGCCGTGACGTGTTGATTATGGATAGCTTTAGTACTTTGAGAGTGGAGATGCCAAGGCGTTTTCTGTTCTTCTGGTCAGGCTCAGACAGAGCCTGTTGGCTGGTCATCTTGTCTCTGTCCTCTGATGCTTCCTCCATCCTACACTAAATGTTTACGTGCCGGTCTATCTACCTGCTCTCAGTGCACTGCAAGAGAAGAAGACAGACAATATATACAATAAAAGAATGAAGGTCAAGCTAAAGATATGCAAATGCATTCTGACTGAATTCACTCTTCATCTATCAATTCAATTCAATTCAATTCAAATTAACTTTATTGGCATGAATGTGTAACAACAATATTGCCATAAGCATCATACAAACTACATAAGAACAATCAACCCCATACATTTCATTAAAGTGTAAAGTAATCAAAGCGTATGTGTGTTTGTGTTAAAAAATAAATATATATTAAAAATTAAAAAATAAATAAATAAATAAAACAGTAAGTTCGTATGTGTTTAAAAAAATTTAATTATATTAAAAATAAAATAAATAAATAAAACAGTAAGCGTGTGTGTCTGAGTGTGTGTGTGTGTGTGTGTGTGTGTGTGTGTGTGTGTGTGTGTAATTTTTTTTTAAATATATTAAAAATAAAATAAATAAATAAAACTATAAGCGTGTGTGTGTGTGTGTGTGTGTTAAAAAAATAAAAATATACATATTTATCTATCTCTGTCTGTCAATTCATAATTTATCCCCAAGGAACAACAACTTATTTCACCTAGTAGTGAAGTGAAGTGTAGACCTACACAATACAAACAGTTCAACATATTGGGAATTAAATGAATTCCCTTTCTTGCTGAGAGTTAGATGAGAATATCAACATCACTGTACTGTTTGTATGGTACATATGTAGTTGGAGGCTAACAGCTAGTTAGTCTATCTAGACAGCTCTCTCTCAGAGGATTACAAAATCTGCCTACCAGCACCTCTAAAGCTCACTTATCAACATCCCACTTTTTTCTCCTCTTTATTCTAAGCTAAGCTAACCAGTCGCTGATTGTAGCTACATATTTGTCTAGAGCTGTGATAGTGGTATCACTCCCGTAACTCACTGCAAGAGAAGTATATTTCTCATAATGTTGAACTATTCTTTCAAACTTGGTTTACCCATTACTCATATCATATAACTGATATATACATTTTGTATATTTAGATATATTTATAGTACACATCCTTTTAAATGGTATCAAACAAATGTTAACACTGATTTTAAGAACATAGAATAGTTTTTTTTTTTTTTCAAAATTGGCAGTTGTTTACATAATGATCATTTTCATACAGACATCATAGTTTACCAAGCTTTTCGTTCATCACAACATCAATAATCTAGTAATAAATCAAGGACAATTATAATTAAAGTTTCAAAGCTTACAATAATGGAAAGTTGCAAGGATTCTCAGTTATTAAATATGAGCATAAAAATGGTCTGATTTAAATTTAAATTACAGAAACATTGTAATGTTTGAAAAAGATACATTTTAACAATCAGTATCAAGTTATTTGGAGTTCTGTGATATTGAAACATATCCTCAAGTGCAAAATCCTAGTGTTAAGCCAGTTCTGTCAGTTCAGCATGACCTCTGAATTAGTAAAGTGAGTGAAAACAGCTGTTACCTGTGTAAACTCCACCAGCGTCTTCTACTCACAGTCCTCTCAGCTCAGTAAATGTCAGGAGCTGCAGGCTGAATCCATATCAGAAAGGAAAATGGTTTCCGATGAGTATGTTTTTCACCCCCCCACCCCCCACCCTCAGGTTTAGCCTGGTTAATACTCCCACCCAAAGCAGGGCTTGCCTTTATAGTCTGATCCATTCTTGGAAGCCCTGGTCTTATCAAATATAAATGTTTCAGATGTAATTATATTTAGAGCAATAGATAGCAACGTCACTACTGCAAAGCAACAACTGAGGAAGTTTAATAAAATACCTAGTGCATCTCCAGGCCAAGGGCACCTGGGTCTCCCCTCTCTTTTTATTCTGCTCCTCTTTAAGCAGCCATGTGTCTCTCCCCCTGAGAGGAGGAAAGCCTGCTCTCCCAAAGCTCCTATTTTCCTGTCTGAGGGCAGAGCAGTTACTTGGAACCAGGGGGGACAAAAGGCCTCGCACATTTTTATTCTACACACTTGCCAGTCAGTCCAGGAGGGGGACAGCAACAAGAGAACAGGGGGGAAGGCGGAGGGAAGACAGATTAGTAACTCCAAACCAGCTCCATATCAGATGCTTGTTGCTTCAAACAGGAATTTAAAAAGAGTCGTATGAAAGTTACGTTTTTGAAAGTTTCAAAAGAAGGTCCGAATTGCCTACATATATCTATATCTATCTAACACTTCATTCAGCCACACTCAATCATTATGTTTGCTGGATTGTTTTGATGAAAACATGCAACAGTGTGCTCAGTATTAACAGTGTGTATCAATGTAAACATGTTTCAGGGGACGCTTTATTACTCCAGTGACCGGTGGGAGGTCTGGGCAGCCAGGCAGCAGGTCATACAATCAGCTTTGGTCCCTCACAAATTCCAGGGATTAAGATTAAGATCCTTCACATTCCTGCACAGCAACAGTCAAGGTAGTGTTTACCACCCTTTCTAAAAAATTATACTCGGCTCCAGAATTTTGCATTGTCTTTTGTCACTGTATCTAGTTTCAGGTACATTCAGACAGGAATGCAGTTTATTTCTACATCAGAGCACCTCAGTCCATCAGTTACAGTACCTGCTGCAAATTGGTAAATATTTGAGTTTTCGAATTAGATTTTAACATTATTTTCTATATTATTACTTTACACTTTACACTCAGAGGCTCTTGGTTTGCACTAATAGAAAAAGTGAGTCACCCTCAGTAGCATTGCAGTTCCTTACACTGGATGTGTTGTTGTTGGTATAGAATGCAGCCTGCTGGTGAAACCTGACATTACACAGATTCATGAGCAACAAGGAAAAAATAAAAAAATAAAAATAAAAAAACATATATGAATAAAGGGCATAAATACAGAGGAGGATATATCATTTGCATTTAGAAATGATGAAAGCTGCGTTTCTACAACTTCAAAGTCAAGCGTTATCTGTGTATTAGTGTAGTAATAAAAGGGTTTAACCATCATACAATTTTGTAATCACTGGTTATGATGGTTACAAAATATTATATAACATGGTAAAAAGGTTAAAAAAAACAAGGTCATTTTTGTCCAAAACAAGAAAACATATAAACTGGTGAGGCACAAAGTAAATACAGAGGAGTCAAAGTTTGATAGACCAGGTTGTGTAATGTAACAACCTTCAACTTTAAGCAAGCCAGACTGATAAATATCATGTGCAAAGGGAAAGATTCGGTAGTGTTGTAGTTTATAGAATTACTCAGAAAAATAGAGAAGTAATAATAAGTTTATCTGATCTGGTCTTATGGGATGTTGAGGCAAGCAAGGGTCAAAACCAGTGATGTCAGGTACACAGCCCTGACTCTAGGACCTGCCATAGCTGTAATGAGATATGAGGTCACCGACGTCCGGTAATTATATTTTGGCTACATCCTATCAATTAAAAAAATCGAATAGAAACCACCGATAGCACGATCAGTTTGAATGAAGGCTTTGAGACCATGCAGACGCAGCCGATTTCACTGTCGCAACCCTCATTTCAGCTTCCCCGTTGTTGTGTAGAATAAAAACGTTGTGCAATAATTGAAAACGCCAGTGTTTGCAGGCAGAGTTTTGGGTGGCCTACTATTTACCTTGGAAAGGGGTAAGAGATAAATATTTTGTTTTTGAATTTTCGGGGAAATATGGAGCGCCTCTCCAGTTACAGAGACGCTGTGCGCATTTACGCACGAGGCACAAGCACAACTTCTTATTAAAATCTCCCAACGCCCTGACATGAACGTTGAGAATCTAATGTTAATTAATGTTATGTGTTGTTCTGCACATAACGGTCTTACACACACAGCCCAGGTTCATATAAACTGTTAGGAATAAAGCAGTCGTCCTTTTTGCTGCTGCTGTTTATTGCTGCTTAACTGCCCCTGATATTTGCTATGACATTACTGCACGAATGGAAACGTTTAAAATGACTGACATAATGAGTTTTGTGCTGTTCTTTTTTTGACGTTAAGGCTCCGCGGTCAAGTTAGCATTGCTTAGCAAAAACAAATATGCAACGTCCGGTTTAAATTTCAAAATAAAACGCTAGCTTTTTGAAACATCGCCATTTTGAAACGGCACTTATTAAAGTCATGAAACATTGCTATGTAGTTAGGTTTAGGCAACAAAACTACTTTGTTAAGGTTAGGAAAAGATCATGGTTTGGGTTAAAATAACTACGTACATCAGTTAACACCAGAGGTGGAACAGAAGTATTCTACAAAAATAAAAGTAAGCTTACTTTGATGAACCTTTACTCAAGTAAAATTACCGTAAAAGTTACTTTTTTAACCTCCTTAAATATCTTGTTGCTATTGATTTAATATCTTATTTATATGTATTATACTTGTTTAATTAAATTGCAGTCTTTTGCGATTTGATAAGGGAACAAATCTGCTTTCGATTTAGTTTGACAGATACAGTTGATGTTATAACCTAATGAGAAGTTTGAGAATGTTTTCGCTTCATTAGGAAACTGTCGCGGAACAGATTAAACTGTGGCGGAACAGATTAAACTCTGGCGGGCGCACTAGACTGGGAAAACAGGAAACACTGGACTGTATATGAAGTCACATCCCTATTTACAGTCAAACAGGTGGTAATTTTAACGGGAAATATCATAAGCATTAGTATAAGAAATAACAAGTTAACAGCAGGTTGCTAATTCCAACCAACATGCACCGATGTCTTTTTGGATATTTGGAGAAAAGCATCTTACCAAACTACTGACCTCTACATCAGGGGTCCTCAACTACATTTGTTCTAAACATACACTGTGGGGGCCGGACTTTCATTTGCCACATTACTGTTTAATAATTTAACTTTCGCAAAAGAATGAACCTTTTTATTAGGGGTGGTGATGGATATAAATATCCATATAATGGATAAGACACATGCCTTTGGTGTGAGAGACCAATTCCCCACTGTGACCTATCCACCATTGTGTCCCTGAGCAAGACGCTTAACCCCTAGTTGCTCCAGAGGCGTGCGACCCTGACATGTATAGCAATTGTAAGTCGCTTTGGATAAAAGCGTCAGCTAAATGAATAAATATATACAAATATATATCAATGTGAACAGAGTCCTTAAACACATGGTCTACAAAGGCTATAATACACAGGCCTACTTAAAATGCTCTCAGACCGCAGCCAAGGAGTTCACTGAGGAGTGATGGTTAAATTCTGTAATTGTAAATTCTGTAATGCTCTTTATCTAACAGCTCACTGTGTCTGCTCCTGACCGTCAGTCTGTCAGTCACGAGGTTTGATTTCCCCACATGGGTCCTGATGATGCAGGATGACAATCGTCAAAGCTGACCAATCAACAAGTTACCTGTGTAACGTCATGGTTATGCCTACTTGGTTTGTTTGTAAAACTGCAGTGTGAACATGAACCGGACCAGAATTTAAATGCAACAGTGTATAATTTTTTTCACTTGGTCCAGACCAAATGAACCAAACTACAGGTGTGAAGGCACCCTAAGAAACTGTTGAAAAACGACTACGCTAATCTCACTTACAAACAGATTGCATTTCCTGTGACTAGTGCTGTGTCTCAATTTGCGCACTTCTATACTTAAACTTACTATTTTGAGTGCGTAAGTGCGTTCACACTGAGAAGTAGGGCAAAATGCAGTGCACTGTGAGTACCCGGATGGTGCACTCATAACAGCCAAAAAGTTGAGCGTGGAACGGTGGACACTTCTCACCCTCAACAACCGCTATTTTTAGCTACGTAGCGGAAGGGGCAGGACCAACAACATGGGAGAAGTGGGAAGCAGCAGAGAGAGAGGCCAACAACAGAACGTCTTTTACAAGTTTCGTACTCTATTTTATCACTAAATTCACTTCTGAGAAGTAGGGTATGGCTGCAGCCACCAATCAATCTTGAGCGCAGCAGCAGCAGCAGAGCAAAACACAGCTCTAAGATAGTTTTAATGTTCATACTGCTGTTATTCTTAAATTCTTATTATTAAATAAAGAGACATCTGGCTCGTGATGTACGGAAAATTCTTTGCTTGTGAAACTTAAAAAATTAATTAATTAACAAGAGAAATAGTATGAAAAGGGGACTGTCGTTATTTTATTAATCATTATTATTATTATTCAGACATTACATTGTTAGTGTACAATTATGGTTACAATACTTGCTTTCTATTGCTTTTATTTTATATAATTCTTATTTATGCACCAATATACCAAAGAACATTACTTATAAGTTTGAACTTGGCAAAAAACCCTATTCTGAGCATTTTATTTTGGGTGAAAAAGCCTGGCTCTTATTTTGGAGCTCTGCAGGCGGCCTCTGTGCTGGGGGTTTTGCGCAATCCTACGATAGTCATTTCCAGTTATTGCAGAACAGCAATGTTTGATTTGAGACAACACTACCTGTCAAAATTAACGCACTAAGCAGCTTGAGTGTACACAGTTAGTATACTCAAGGAAGTACCCGAACTGAGACACAACATAGGCCTACTTCAAAATAAAAGTCAACTTGTGTTTCGCCAGTTTTGTTTCGCACAGGACACAGACCCCGGTCTCCTGGTTCAAAGTCAGGGTTCTGGCCCTCCATCCACCTCCTTACTCAGTCTTTTCTGTTAAATATCATATACCTACCTTTACCATCAAAAACCGACTAC